CGTAAGCCCAGTTTAAATATACGAAATTACAGCTTCACAGGATGCTGTGCCCGGCTGTTGTTTATTATTCCTGTTCAAACTAAGAAACACAGAGGCTAGGTCAAACAGTTGCAGCGTTGTTCAAACTAGGCCAAACAGTTGCGCGAAATACGAGATGTAACCAGTCTGCATATCTGACATTAGGTCGGTCACTGGTGGGAATGAGACAACAAATGACAAGGCCTGTACTTGGTCGCCCTTGAGCTATTTTAAAAGCATGACACAACTGAGACGTCCTTGGGAATATTCGAGTCCTTTTTTACTGCTCGTTGTAACATTTATTCTAAAAACAGACAGCCATTTTGATCGCGAAGATTCTTTATTTTGATATTTAGATTAGTTCGATGTTAGTCTCACCAAATAGATTAGGTCACTTTTTATTCACAAGTTTGTTGGGCTAGTCGACCTCTCTGAACGTTACGGGTGTGTCCCGCTTTTTTTAAGTTTATGTGATGTCTTGTATTTATGTTTTCATTCCGAGAAAGAGAATGCCTGTGACATAGGTTGCAGCACTCTCTGGGGGTGGGAGGTGGGGTTGTGTTAGACGCAGTTTCTCCATGTTTTTGGAGTGTTAAAAGCGCCGGCGTGCTGAAATATACAACACGATATCAACGGAATTGCAGAATACCCCCGTAACTCTGTGCGAAGGCATACAAAATAGTCAGATCTGTAAAATGGATGTGCACGCAACACTCAGATTCTGAAACAAGACCAGTCCAGGGGTGGATGACAAGCAGAACTTTCCGCCGGAGTTTACAGCTGGGGAATGCGAAGAAGACTTTTAAATGGGACGGGCGGCTGACCGAACCGTAAGAGCGCTGGGCTCTCAGATTTTGTTCTGTCAGTGACAGAAATAAAATCCCAACCTGCACAGTCCATGGCGACAGCACTAGCCAAGCGGCCTTAAATTCCCAGGCACAATGCCCCCCCCCCTCCCTGCGCCTACACCGCAAAAAATAGTTAATGCAGACAGTAGAGACAATTTTAATGGCAATACTACTCAGTACAAAATAAGTTGTAACGTAAGAACAAAACTACGAAAGAGGGAATGATAATTAAAAAATATGACAGGAGCCTTTAATATCTATAGATATGTCAGACAGAATAAATATTGTTCCATACAGCGGAAGGCACGTGAATGCAGACGAGAGAAAAGTACCTGGCTCTTCCTGCAAACAAAAGCAAACACACTTAAATCTCATAGAGAATCTGGGACTGGTATTAAATATGCTATGACAATTTTGTTATTTGAAAAGAGGAAGGCACCCAAGGGCGAATCAGCGGCATCAGTAACAAGATGATTTAAACAGGTTACAGATAAACAGTCTGTAAAGAGTATACACAATCAAATCTAGCTGAATAAAGTGTTGGTAAATCCACTTGATCGATTTTTCACAAGCCTGCGCATATTTGCACATAATACCCATACACACACGAGACACACACACAAAGAGAGGGGTTAGGGGTTCAAATGTTTTTACGAATTTGATAAACCAAACTGGCTAAACCAATTCGATGTTTCGATGAACCAGCCATCTCTCGAAGCAAAACAGCAAACACGCGCTCTAGAAGTAACCAAGTCTGTATGACCTACTATGATGGCTTACAACTTTGGTAGTTGGCCAGCCAGGCGGTAAACATATTTACCAGAAATCGCTGTTTACCAGTTTCCTTTGACCTCAGCCAGCGACATGACTCATTTCGTACACAAAAGCCGCGGGGAGACATGCTGTTGCACGTTGTGTATTGTACAAGGTCGATTATCGCCGATCTTTTGAGCTGGCCGACAAGGGTTTAACCTGACAAGAGTTGGTCATATATTTTTGCTGACACGTAATAAAGTTAATCATAGATTATGATACACGTGGTAATGCAAGGTCGGACAACACGTGTAACATGTCAGTAGAAAATAATGTAGTGCATGGTTGTTGCTAGAAAAATAGAAATACATAGCGAAAATTTTATTCATGGGTTAGACAACGTTACATGGGTTGCTCTGCTTTTTTGGTAAAGTTTGACAAATAAATATATTGTGTTGGCTCCTTTCCAGCTGATTTTGTTATATTTAGATGTGGGGCGGCATGAGAATCATACTGTGGAAAAATCTGCCGCAATAAGTGCATGGAATTTCAGGACCATCTTTCACCATCACGTGTATTTGATATGTTTCTTCTCAAACGTTCAATTATTACCCTGTCTGCAACCCTCAACTTCTTTGTCACCGTTTACTTCATATGTTACCCCTCCATGCATGCGATCCATGGCATCAAATTCCATTGAATTCACATCAATTCCTATATCAGTCATGTCCCAGTTGCACACATTTTTGAATCTTAGTAACAGAGGCCGACCACTACATCTTCTACCCATCTAAAGTTGATCATAGAGGAGCGCTGTTTCTAGCGGTATTGTATTAACCATCTTTCTGTGATGGGGTCGGCACTCTGGCTAAGTCGATGCGAACGCTTCGTAATGCCGGGATGCCGGGTTCGATCCCAACTGCGGGCCATGCGCCTTGGGTTGGTTTCAACAGTGGTATAAAGAAAGCCGACCGTCCAAAAAGCAATGGCAAACTATTGGACGTAAATTTGCCTAGAAAAACCACACAGGGTTGGTTCTGCAACGTCCTGTAAAGGATACGCAACTAACCTCTATGATGGGGGTCGGGCCTCTGGTCCGCGGTGATCACTTTTTTTTTAATGTTGGGCCCTGAGTAAACTTAAAGTTGAAAAGCCTTGTCATATAGCATGTGCTTAAGGACTTTAGCAATCTCCACCCTCTCGAGTGTGTCCTAGCCATTTGTTGTCCTCGGTGAGGGAAGATTTACAACAAACCACACAATTCACTACAACACCTAGCTTTCTAAATGTTCGGGAGTCGCCGTGGCGTTGGCAGCTAGACGCCCGTCTGCGGATCGGAAGGTCGTGGGTTCGCGTCCTAACTGAGCCGGACTTTTTGTCAAAAATGACCTTGACTCCCAGGTGGACCCAGCCTTGAGTGGGTACCAAGTGCTGTCCTGTGAAGTAAAGGCGACTGGCGTGATGCTGACCACATCACCCACCAAGTGCTGACTTGACTTGACTTTCTACCCCACTAGGACATCACACAAGCGATAAACACCCGATGACACAAAGTGCCACCATGCGGATGAGGATCGCCGTGGAGAGGTCCCAGAAACCGCGTTCAGACAATTGGCCAAATTTATGGCCTGCCTATATTGCGGCCCCGGGCAAAAGCCAGGGTGGGGCTTCAAATAACAAAAAATTTCGCCCTAAAAAGGACGAAACTAGATAACCCAAGTGCTGATTGGTCTTTAAAAATATATAGGTTTATCCCTATATTCTCCCAATACGCCTAAGGGCGTGGAAAAGGCTCTCTTTCTAAAGTTCACATGGGTAAGTAATCTGATCACACGCAACATTTACGGAAACAAAAAGATCTGCTAAAAAGTTGCGTGCGGCAGCACTGAGACCATATGTTTCCCGTCACGTACTGAGCCAAGAACTCTTATGAAGTTAATGCCCGCCACTTGACCACACAGGCGATGTTGACGTAAAACTCGCGGGCACATCAGGGGACACGATTTGACTGACAGATGGGGACACAATCCGCGGACACAAATATGTTATTCTGTCCACGATGAAGGTGATTAACAGCTGAATCGTGGCATGGGCTTGTGGTTTTTTGGTGTTTATTCTTTCTTTTACAGGCAATTATTACTTTGAATGTAGTTTAGAGAGAGGAATGTGGGTTCTTTAAGAAGCAAATTAATTATGAGTGTGTTGTTGATAGTCATATCTATCCACAGCTTGTACTTTCAGTGAGTACATTACACATCCGATCCTTACGTCCTTTTTAGGACGTAATTTTTTGTTATTTGAAGCCCCAATCTGGCTTTTGCCAGGGGCCGCAATATAGGCAGGCCATAAATATGGCCAATTGTCTTAACGCGGTTTCTGGGACCTCTCCACGGCGATCCTTATCCACATGGTAGGCACTTTGTGTCATCGGGTGTTTATCGCTTGTGTGATGTCCTGGTGGTTTAGAAAGTCAGTCAGTCAGACTTTCAGTGAGTTCTGACACAAGCAATTGTCCATACCATAATGTCAAACTGGCTACTATCTTCTTTCTTGGTCTCCCTCTGCCTCTTCTGCTCCAACTTTCCCACTGTCACGATGTACTCCAGTTGTCTCCTTCTTATGACATGGCCACAGAATGCAGATTGTCTCCCTCTGATGCGGATTGGCAATTCTCTTCGCGAGTGTGTCTTTTAAGACATCTTGACTCTTTATCTGCCCGTGGTATTCTTATCATGCGTCTATAAAGCCACATCTCCGCAGCGGCTTTCAAATAATTGTTCACTCATTCACCAACTGTCCATGATTCACTTCCATTTGTCAGGATAGGATTTATATAGCTTTTAAGAATGCTGTTTCTCGTCTCAGTTAATAAAGACAGATTGCATAGAACATTCTATATTTTGTAAAATGCTGCCTTTGCTTGAGATGTTCTACATTTAACGTATTTAACGCATCTTCCGTCTGATGTTATCAGGGTACCCAACAACTTTTACATATCAGCTAGCTTGAAATATTATTTCAAGTCAACTAGCAGTTCAACCATTTGGCTAAAATCAAAATACTGGATTGGTCACGTACGGCAAACTAAATCACACTGAATTTTAAATATCCTTTAATGTGGCAGTATACCCGGCTCGCTTGCTAAGTTGGTTAAACCTGACTGCGCTGCGACTGGGTGACGAACTCATTGTGGTCCGGGTTCACGCCCGGGGGTATGCAGAAAAGCCACATTTCTCCTAGATGTACGATATCTATTATGAAATCAAGGTCTAAGGGTTGCGATATCCATAGTACCGAGCCAAAGGGTTAACAATTCAGGGTTTCTGGATATTTTTAAAAAATGTGGCAGTATAATTAAAATAACTCCTTTTCTTCTTTCAGATGATGCTCGACAGAACAACGCCAAAGTCCTCATCCATTGCCACGCCGGAGTTTCTCGCTCTGCGACCATAACTATCGCCTACTTGCTCAAACACACCAAAATGGCTATGGCAGACGCTTACAAGTTTGTGAAAGGAAAGCGCGCCATTATTTCTCCAAACTTCAACTTCATGGGACAGTTGTTGGAGTTTGAGCAGGATCTGAACGAGGGCGTTTCACCAAGAATCTTGCATCCACATATACAGGATAGCGTGAGCAATGTCTGACACGACGCTACTAGGTGGCTCCTGAGGTTCTACACATCAAGGATACCTGATGAGGTTCAACACACAACAAGGATATCCGTTGAGGTTCAAAACGAATCAAGTATTTCAGTTAAGGTTCCGCAAACATCAAGGAATTCAGTAGATGTTCATAGCTCATGAACTATGAAACCATCCATTTTTGTCTAGCAGAAGAAAAAAAAAAAGATGAAAGGCTTCCTGTGAATGAAGCGTTTTAGTCTTCATTGTCCGACATTTCTAAAACTATTTTAGATCATAACCCACAATAGATCCATATGGGATATACAGATAACAGCTGAAAGAATGTAAACAAACTAATATGATTTACGCACAGTATCTGATATATAAATGGATGTATACTACTGAAGCAATTTCTTCCATAATGGAAAACTATTTCTGTGTGAAACATTAGCATTCTCGGTCTTTTAAAGCTGCCACTAATGCCTCAGATGAGTACAGACTATTATATAACTATGTATTTGTGGTCTAGAATTTGCAATCAGTAAGAAATACAATTGTATTTTGAACTGTTGAATAAGACTAAAGCACTTTTTTTTTAAATCTTGCGATGCAATAGCTGAAAAGCCTTAACTATTTAATATTGTGTCTATAAACATTTGATATTGTATGTTTTATTATATATTTGTGTCTACATGTATGATGGTCAATACTTGTATGTGTGCGAATATGTTGTAACAAATGCTGGAGAAAGATATTTCGGGACATCTCCATACTGAAAAATAGTTGTTTTGCCATAATTGGTTTTTTTCCACAGTAACATTCTCCAGGGGAAATACCTGGCTAGTTTAGCATAGATTGCCTTTCGTGGCCATTTTGAAATGAGTCTGTTAATAATTGTACTGGCTGTTGCCATTTCTAAGCCAAACCTATTTAAACACAGCAGAGCAGTTTATTATTTCAGGGCCAAGTACCATTTTGTAGGCTACTGAAAAATTGCCACCTTGTGTTAAAATGATCTATATGAATGCTTAGTTGAGGGTGTGTGTGTAAAAATGGTGAATCCAGTTTTTTCGAGTGATGCAAGTATGAAAATGCAAACATAGTGTAACTTTGTCCATCCCAGAATGCTCGGTGGAAAATACCAATAGGGCAGACGAAAAAAAAAAAGATAGTTAGATTGCTAGAAGATTACTTTCAAAGTGATTAAATGTAAACTGCAAGTGGCCACTGATGAACACATTTTTCAGCATTCTTAAGCAAATGGAAAATGTAAGAGGCCAAATTTAGTGATTTGGCATCCACTGAGAAGCCAGCCACACACCCCACATTTTTGGGAACTACATGTGTTATAGCACAACATAACTCAATGATGATACTAATATTTCAAATCTAATACAATTTGGCTGTTTTCCATTTGCCTACAATATCCCTTTCTCGTAAATGTGTGTTCAGATATGTAACTTTTGCAATTACTTTTGTCACTCAGGAAATAGAAATGTATTTAAATAAACATTTGATGATTTATGTGTTTTTTTCTGTTCATGCCTGAACAGTGCATATTTTCACTTTATAGATATGTTCATCAGCTCATTGTGTATAGCATAAATAATTTATTTCCTGATAATTTGTTGTCTGCCTTAAAAAACATGCCTACGCTATGTTTGTGATTGCTTAATTATAACAAATACTATACATTTGTGGCAAAAGGCGTTTTTAAGCCTTCAAAAATCTAAAAAACTAGGGGTCGACATATAGCACAATTGTGTGCTAAAATCTTGAGGTTATCTAGAACATTCACAATTTACAGTATATTTATAGACTTGTGAAAGCCATCTCTTGGTTTAAAAGAGGTTTTTCTACACAGGTTCTAGTCCCAGTCTATTTGATACTCTAAATAATTGATTCCAGGCTTCTTCTTCTTCCACCCTTTATCCCCCAATGGCGCATAGGCCGTCAGTCAACCCATGCCAAGTCGTCTTGTCCTTTGCCATCACATGCAGCCCACCCTGTAACCAAGGCTAATAGGAAATCATTGTATCCTTTAACTATTCTGGTACTAAACAAGTGTTACTTTAACTAGTTCTCTCCTAGGAAGTTGTTACTTTAACTAGTTCTCTCCTAGGAAGCTGTTACTTTAACTAGTTCTCTCCTAGGAAGTTGTTACTTTAACTAGTTCTCTCCTAGGAAGTTGTTACTTTAACTAGTTCTCTCCTAGGAAGTTGTTACTTTAACTAGTTCTCTCCTAGGAAGTTGTTACTTTAACTAGTTCTCTCCTAGGAAGTTGTTACTTTAACTAGTTCTCTCCTAGGAAGTTGTTACTTTAACTAGTTCTCTCCTAGGAAGTTCGTTACTTTAACTAGTTCTCTCCTAGGAAGTTGTTACTTTAACTAGTTCTCTCCTAGGAAGTTGTTACTTTAACTAGTTCTCTCCTAGGAAGTTGTTACTTTAAACTAGTTCTCTCCTAGGAAGTTGTTACTTTAACTAGTTCTCTCCTAGGAAGTTGTTACTTTAACTAGTTCTCTCCTAGGAAGTTGTTACTTTAACTAGTTCTCTCCTAGGAAGTTGTTACTTTAACTAATAGATGACTGAGTGCAAGAAGTTATGAACGTAACATTATGGAACTGAAGGGATTAAACCAAGAAATGTTACAGAGTTGGTTAGTTTAACAGTGGAATTTGTCAAAAGATGTTAGGAAAAGAGTGTTGTGTCATTTGAAATCAACAGATGAATGGTGATTTTATTAGTACCAAAGAGTCGTCTAATTATATCCCAGGCAATCGCTAACTTAATCCATTATTAGTAATATATTATAATGTTTCTTAACTGTTGATTTCAACATAAGTATCTATGCGAAGACATTGTTAGATTGTTTCTAGGTGTCTGTCACAATTTCTGGGATTCTTTTCTATTGATCTATATTCCAGATCAACCAGGAATTTCTTTAAAACGAAGAGACCCAGCCTGAGACCTTGTTCCTTGTCACTCCTCGTGTGCTGATTAGTCGACACATATCTAGAGACCACAATATAGCCAAAACTTCACATTGTCTGAATGAGTGTACTTGTATTCTTTAACTTCACCAGAATTGCAGCATTTATTTAGTTTTCTCAAGAGAAACATAGATATGAAAAAAGCATATTTTATAAATATGTTCTCACATATATTTATTGACATCTGATATGAAAGAACCAATATGAAACATTCCTAAATATCATTGGTTGAAAGTGTACAGGTTGCTGTACAGACATGTGCAATGAAGTACACTCATTTTTCAAGCCATTCATGAATGTATCCTCTCAGAAGTGTCTCTGCTGGTGTGAATATTGTCATTCATTTATGTTTTTCATTTTTTTTAGAGTGGGATGGATGGAATGAAAAAGAGAGTTGTTCAAGAAAACAAATATACAGGCAATATTAAAATAATTTTTTGACATATTTATTCAATTGTTAGAGACAAAGCTCCTGGAATTAAAAGTGTATCTGCTTATTATTAGGATGATAGTGTTGATGCTACAAAGCAGTTGGTATCAATGGAGGACTTGCATCACACTACAGCCTTCATAGAGGCCTGTTGCCTTCTCATCTGAAGCCACAACAAGGAGAAAGGTAAGAAGAAGAAGAAGAAGAAAATGATCCTAATGTTTAAAACCACAGCAGGCAGACTGAAATCATTTAGAAAACCTTGGTTTTGTGAAAGCTGTAGACAGTTCTGTTTTAATACAAACAGTAGTTTTATACATCTTTTTGCTGTACCAGAGAACCGTATTTAAATCTACACATTTTCAAGTCTTCAGTTTTTCAAAAGCGACATTGCCCTTATTTCAAAAGCCAGCATACTAGTTGTATGAAACCAAGTTGACCATCACCAAATAAAATGAGTTTAATACCGAGTTTTGGACACCACTCTAAACAAGTCCTGCTGGACTGCCAACATATCAGACTATCTATGCTTGCTCTTGTAGAGCAATATAGCATTTGTTTAGTTTTCTCTGCTCTGTTCTGGTTTTTTTATTTTATTGCTTCTGTTTATTTTCAACACCCATTAGCTATTTGTATCTGTCATGTGTATAGTTGGTTTACCAATTGGTTTGAGAGTATGTTTTTTGATCCAGTGTAATGAGTCAAAGTATTTCCAGACTGGGCTCGTAAAAGCATGTGTGAGTGTTTGGGTTCGTTAGTTATGTGCAACATATAAAACTTAACTGTATGAGAGACAGAGAGACTGAGACTTGTTTGTGCCGACTTTAGGTATGTGCAGCGTATAACACTTGACTGTGTATGAGAGAGAGAGAGACTGAGATTTGTGTTGGCCGACATTTGGGTAGATGCGCCTATATGATTCATTTAGATGCATCTTACACTACTAACTTATGATACTGAAAAGTTCGGCCTAGAAAGTATATGACATAAGTGACAGTTTAAAGTCATTTGTGTTAGGCTGCATGTATTTGTGTATGTGAGTTTGAGATAGAGAGGGGATAAGTGTGCACTTTCAGTCATACATGTTTGCATCATATATTATTTGACTCTGTGTGTATGTCAGTGGGTTCTTCATTTGTGTGAATTTATATTAACATCTATATGATACTGTAACTTAAGCCTGAACAATACAAGTGGACGTTTCACATCATTTGTGTTATTTAGTGTGTGTTTCTTGTTTTCTTTTCTTCCTGATTATCAGCCGGCCAGGGGCGGATGTTGTGAGGACGTTAGTTCTCATAAGTATATTATTTACATGATGTTCATGGTCACTTCTGGTGTACTTCGTATAGTTTTTTAATCTAGATTCATCTGTATTTCGTCTCCTATTATGGAGTCATGAATATCAAAACGTTAATAGTATTAAAGTTATAATAATGAAATTTGTTTTCTTTTCGTTTTGTTTTTTACTTAACTGAAAGAATGTGGGGTGGAGAGACAGCTGCACATAAATTTTGGTTTTGTAACAACCTCACAAAGCGTGCAGAGTGGCAAGCATTGCTTTAGAGACCCGGGTAGTTAGCGTCCATTAGATCTTTTCT